CTGAAAACATGTCCAAAGTATGAGAGATGAAGTCTGGCCATCCTGGCTTCTAAGGAGAATTCTGGTTGCTCTTCCAAACATATTTGTTTGTTCTTCAGGCAGTCCATGGTACCTTTAATATTCTTCTCCAACACCATATCTCAAATGCATCAATGCTTTTATGGTCTTCCTTATTTATTGTTCAACTTTCATATGCATATGAAGATATTGAAAATACCATGGCTTGGGTCAGAAGCACTTTAGTACTAAACTGATACTTTTGCTCTCGAACACTTTAGAGTTCTTGTGCAGGTGATTTGTCTAATGCAATAATACATTGTTTGATTTCTTGACTGCTGCTTTCCTGAGTGTTGATGGTGGATCCAAGTAAAATGAACTCTTTGACAATTTCAATCTTTTCTCTGTTTATCATAGTGTTACTTATTGGTTCAGTGGTAAGGATTTTTGTTTTTTGTTACATTTACAATGTGTAATCCGTACTGAAGGCTGTGATCTTTGATCTTCATCAGTAAGTATCCATTGAAAATAGTTGACTAGAAGTTTTATGTAGATAGGGTGAGGCTTGTTGATTAGTGTACTTTCTTATGGGTGACCAGATGGCAAGCTGTGTTTGTTTTTTGTTTTTTGTTTTTAGGGCATCTCTGTTTGTTAGTATAGAAGGTATTTTATTTTGGGCCTTTCAGGCTTTTCCAAAGAAAACCATCTGACGAAAGGCATTTGAGAGGGCATGCTGGTATGGTGCTGTAGGATAAGCACTGAACTGTTAACCACAAGGTCAGCCAGCTGCTACTCAGGAACCCTTCACAAGGTCTTTAAGAGTCTAAACTGATTCATAAGTAACTTGTTTGAAAGCAGAACTAAGAAAACAAGCAGAGTCTTCCACCATGGAGGGTGTACATTTCATTTTATTATCACTTTCACCTGGTTTGTATCCCATCTTTCCACTGTGCCTGGTGTGTGCTGTGGAGCTGTTTCCAACTCATAGTGACCCTATACAGGGTTGCTGAGAGTGACTGGTATATTTGAACTGCAGACACTGTGGTTACCAGTCCAGTTGGTATCCTACAGAGTCTTATCAGGACTCACTGAGACTGTTGTTATGTGCTGTTGAGTGGGTTTTGACTCACAGAGATCCTGTATAGGATTTCTAAGGAGTGGCTGATGGGTTTGACCTGCGACCTTTAGGTTAGCAGTCCAGAGTCAAAATTCTTAAATGACTCGGATTCAGTTTTTACAGAGAATAAACTGGTGAGTGGAGTTTTCTTTGTGGAAGAAGAAAAGTAAATACCTGAATGCATAGGGTAGCTGTAAAGAAACTTGACTTTCAACCACTTCTCTGTAGATTTTTATTTTGTCTCCTGATTTCTGTGCCCTGATCTTACCCCATCTCCCTGCTCTTCAGAATCATTAACATTCTTAGGACTCTGCTTCTTAGGGTCTCTCCAGGAAAAATTAGCTTAATACCTGTCATTATCCCCTGGTGTCAATCTATCAGTTATATGTTTCTTCACTCTTATAAGATACATGTCTCTTAATGCCAAGTACAGCTTCAAAACTGTGTTGAATTCTATCTTTTGTTGTCTCCTCTCTCATTTTCCTCTCATTTTTAAGAATTTAAAAATATGTTTGCCACTCATTTAATATGTTTAATCTGTTTATCAGCAGAGGCTTCCTAGAGGAAAAGATATCCTAATAAAAAGGCATTTACAGATATTTGTTTCATTTCTTATAAAGCTTGAAAGTTATTTTTAACTACATATCAATTATAAAGAGCCCTGGTAGCATAGTGGGTTATGAGCTGGGCTGCTAACCATAAGGTCAGCAGTTCGAATCTGCAAGCGACTCTTTAAGGAGAACGATGAGGCTTTCTTCTTCTGTAAAGGTTTATTTTCCTCTGCTTTTTTGTGGAACATTTGGATGAACATCAATATCATTCTCCTAAATTCCCCTTCAGACAATTCCAAAGCCTCTTCACCCTCTAATAGTATTCCTAGTTTTTCTTTTTGGTTGTTTGTTGAGCACTCTATCTTGTTTCTGGATGTGAGCAGAAATTTTTTGTTGCTATTTAGGCACTGTGGTGCTGTTGTTTTTTGTGTTCATTAGATGAATGTATGATGGTGTATTCTTAAGTACACTCCAATTGCTGGCTTGTGGGTGTGATCTGGAGATGGGATTCTCTGTTCACTGCTCTTGCAGGTCTCTTTAAAGTATTTTTAACAGATGCAGGTTACATATACGGTTCTGATATATAGTAGCTGGTATTGTCTCTTGCACTATAGGTGGGGTTTTGCAGGGTGCAAGTGTAGCTTTGTTGTATGGCTGGAGTTGCTGTCTCTTGTTAGGTGAGGCATGAGTAGAAATTCCCACAAAAGTAGGAGGAAGGCCAAATTCAAGGCTAAACCCCAAAGTCAAGCATCATTAAAAAAAAAAAAAAAGTTATTTACATAAAGTAATGAGACCCAATAAAATCAGAGAAACAATAACCTAAAGTAAAATTAAAAATCACAGGAAAATATGAGTAATTATTTAGCATCGACCTGGTGAACAACAAAATGGACTCTATCCTTGAAAGTCAACTGCATCTGTTTCCTGTTTGAAACTGGGGAAATCCTTCTGCTGAGCTACTCCTCAGATCAGTATTAATTGTTCCACCTCATAAAACCTTGTGTGCATGATGCTACACCTTCCCTGGGGTGAGTATGAGCAAGACTGCCCTCTCTCAGGTCATTCAAATATTAAATCTCTAGCTGTAAGCCAACCGGAAATGCTCCCATAAAGATTTACAGCTTCCAAAACCCTATATATAGGGTCACTATAAGTCAGAACTGACTTGGTAGCACACAACAGCCAACAACCACATATAAATATGTAATCTAAGACATACGGGTATATCTTGCTTTACTATGATTCACTTTACTGCACTTCACAGATATTACACTCTTTACAAATTGAAAGTTTGAACACCCCTTTGACAAGTAAGTCTCTTGGCATCATTTCTCTAAGAGCTTGTGCTTATTTCATGTCTCTGTGTCACATTTTGATAAATCTCACAATATTTCAAAAATTTTTGGATGGAGAAGAACTGCTCCATATGGTTTCTAAGGCTGTAGGTCTTTACAGAAGCAGTCTGCTACATCTTTCTTTCACTGAGCATCTGGTGGGTTGGAACCAGAAATCTTTCAGTTAGCAGCTTAGTGCTATTACCACTGTACTACTAGGGTCCCTTCAACTAGAGTTCCTCCTCAGTTCTTAAAGACTCAAGTCAAATGCCACATCCTCTATGAAACAGTCACAGCTAATCCTAGCTAGTTTGGTACTTTTTTCTTTATTCTCTTCTTGCACACTGCAAACCTCTGATGTAGTACCAGAGACTTCTGAAAGTTCATGGAAAAATTTGATTTTTCCAAGAACATTTTGAAGCCTCTTCATGTTTTTCAAATTGTTCTAGAATTACTTATATTCAGTGAGTGTCTCGTACAGATTGAAACCATGTTTTATACTTCTGTATATCACTTTTGTTACCTACATTATTATCGCCACAAAATGTGTTTGTTGAAAGAATAAATAATGTCATAGTTGTTTAGTGCCATCGAGTCAGTTCTGACTCATAGAATAAGCATCCATTAACTTGAGCATTTCCCTTCTGCATAGCAAGTAATCTTATGCATAGGTAGTGATGAACTGGCTGAGGGGATTATCAATTATGCTGCTGTTTTTGTTGTTAGGTACCATCTAGTTGATTCCAACTCAGTACCACGTACAGAGTTGTGAGGTTGTAAACCTTTACAGTAGTAGAAAGTCTCATCTTTCTCTCGATGAATGGCTCGTGGTGTTTGAACTACCGAACTTGTGATTCATAGTCCAGTTGCTTACCCTATAGCACATAAGAATCTGTCATGTGTTGTATAAAATATGTCGTGCATTATGAGCTGAGCTGGTAAGCACAAGGCCAGCAGTTTGAATCTACCAGTAGCTCCTTGGGAGAAAAATGAGGCTACTGTAAAGACTTACTGCTTTCAAAATCATACACAGGGTCACGATGAGTCAGAACTGACTGGATGGCACACAACCACCACCATCAGGGACAGGGTGATTTTACCTGAACAACTAAAAACCTAGTTACTTGGGTTTTTCTAATGATTTTAATTACTAGTCCTCAAGGTCAGTACACATATTTTTGAACCATTAAAAAAAAAAAAAAAAAAAAGACCTCATGATTTCAATCTGCCAAAGAGGTATCCTTTAGAATTGAAATATTTTATTATTTTTAGTAAGACTATATGTGTGTGTATTTGCGTGAGAAGAGCAATTAATTTGGCAAGGGCAAAAGTATGATGTGGGAACAGATTCCTTTCTCCAGCCTCAGCTTTATTTTAGTAATGAATAATTATCATGGCATTTTTAGCTTGTGAAATTTGACTTTACATCTTCTTTTTATTATTGCTAACTTTGAATTGTAAAGGGGCTTACTTTCAAACTAGGGTCATTTCTCAGCAACAAAAGAATACAAAAAAAAAAAAAAGATTCTACAAAGAGTCTGATAAAATTGACAATGTTGATTCAAAGATTATGTCCTCTATTTATTTTACAAGTATTTCTAGCTTTAGGACAATCTGACATATGTAAATCTAATTTTTTTTCCAAGGAGATTAAGTTAGAATGTAGTCATTCTAATTAAAAATGTGTTATTTGCCACACAGACGGATTCGCTGAAGGACACCTTTAAATAAAAAGACTCCTTAGTACATTTAAGTATTTGTTCTTACATTACTAAGTAATGTGAAGTAAGGCTGGGCAATCTGGGAAATCAAAATGTAAATGTTCAAGGAATCTGGCCAATGAACATCAACAATTGTGCAATAAGATAAAAAAAATTTGATTTACACACATATTTAAAGCAGTTCATTAAGTGAGATTGTCATGGCTTTGAGGATACAATTGGTTTTCAATTTCTTTGCTTCTTATCAGAGTTCTTTACATTAACGGAAATAAATGTATACCTGGAGGTGATGCTGTGAATCATGGGGGTTGGTATATCACCTGGAGTCTCTTCGACAGTAGTGATTTGGGTTCCATTGCTTTTCACACAGGCATACTTTGTGCAGGCTTCAACCTGAAAACAGTAGTTCAAAAAAGAGTAGGTCCAGCTATTTTCGAAATGCAGACTGACAATGGACTGAATCTCACCCACTCTTACTTCATATGAACTGCTTCTCATGCCCTTTAGACTCTTGGGGTTCAATAAATATTCATTTTTGATATGAATGTACTCCAGTGGTACAAGCTCAAAGCAGATTACAGAACTGGGCTCAGGACAATTGATTTAGTATCTAAAATGGTGAGGCTTGATCTCTGGTTCCAACATTCAGAAAGAGACAGACATATTAATCTACTAAGAGCACAGTCAAGGCATGGAAATGACTAGGTAACAGTTTGCAAGTATAATAGGTTATCACTGCATACTGCTCCTTAGATCTATAACCAAGTCGTGTAATGATGGTATCTTCTGCAAGTCTTGACACTTTACAACAAATAACCTAAATGCTAATGTCTAATGGATGAAAAATGAGGCCTAGACAAGACTTCCAATGTGGTTGAGCTGTTTTATATCCATTTGTTCCAGCTGCAATTGTATCTTTATTTAATCACAGGAGAAAATCATCATTCACTCCTTTAATTCTGCCACCTAATCTGAATGAAAACTAAGGAGGGTGGAATAACTGAAGATTTGCTAAGGAGTTCATCAAACATTAGTAACACAAAAGGAACACACCCAGAAAGAGAAAGATGAATGTAGAGAAGGTTGCTAGTAGAACATCCTCACAGATACATCATTCTGTTATCAATTAAAGGATAAACCAAAGAGGAACTATACCTTTTCCAATGCTAATTTCCTTTCAGCACTTAATACATAAATGGAGGAGAGAAACTATATACTGTGATTCTTAAGTACCAATACTAAGCCTTTAAGTGAGGAAGTTTTCTTGCTTCACTGGCATTTAAGAAAAGACAAATGTGATTCTTCTTGTATTTATTTATAGATGTGACATTTTACTCATAGGGCAGTTGCACCTAAATGGGAATTGATGCATGCATATTTTTTTATAATGCTGTTTAAGTGTGTCTTTTACTTATGCCATAGAGAATTTTGAGATAAAACTTTAGATTCTTAAACTCTATCAAGGCTCTCTCCTTTGAGTATGTCCAATTAAAACACAACAAATTTAATGGTAAATGAACACAAATTTTACTTACTGCAAATAAAATAAACATATGGGAAATATTTTTCTATATGATAACTAAGAATCAACTCAACTGACTGTATTGTGTGTCTAATACATGCCAAATACTCTGGTATACAAATTATACTGTTCAGTCTTTCAGAAATTCGCAAATTTGGGCTCAGAGAAATCATAGATATGATCAACTGATAATATTTGAGATAACTAATTTGTGGGTTACAATGTACCCTATTGTCTTATTATATAAATATTAAGCATATACCGAAGCATAAACTATGTAGTCATATTCAAATGTTTCTCCAGAAAGCTTTTATTTGACTTGCGAGAAATATGCCAATATTTTCCTCATTTTTATTAACATTATAGTCCAACTTTCCATCTTTGGAGCATATTTCCAGTGCTATAGTTGTTTTGTATAATATGTGAATGAAACACAAATATGAGAATTTATCATATTACCATTAAAGACAAAACTGAACCAACTTTAAATTCATGTATATTGATCTCTTTTAAAATAAATATGCAAAGAAATTTATTTTAAAAATAGATTTGAGTTCATAGATGTGTCTGCTTTAAAATCAATAGTTCTTTTACAGAGGGGCTTAGAATAGAGAGCTTTAGTTCCAAAGTATTAGGCATTCTAATTATATGCACATTTTGAATGAAATCCAATTATCTTTGACATTATAATGAAGATCCGTTGAAATTTGATACTAAATTTTCCAGAAGTGTAACCGTTGTTCCAAGTGCAGTATTCTTGAATGGTGAAGAGGTTCACAACAGTATAGTTGTCAGGATAAGAATATTTAGTCACAAACAGCAAAATTCATATATTGAATTCAAATTAGTCTCTTGTCTCCTTCTGTTTCTGTGTTCCAGATGAGATGAAAATTCTACCACTGACTCAACCAAGTAAGTAGGACTTGAAGCCTCTCACACTAGAATAGGTCTGAAACACTTTTTTTGTTTCTTTCTTTTGGATTATATTCCACATTTTTTCTCTTGCTCTACCCAGAGCCTCCTATTGTGATCTCTTTCAGAGTGGTCAGCAATGGTAGCCAAGGATTATTGTTGTTGTTGTTAAGTGCCGTCGCCAAGTCAGTTCCGAGCCATAGCGACCCTGTATAGGGTTTCAAGGAGCAACTGGAGAGCCTGAACTGCCAAGCTTGTGGTTCAAACAGACTTTATTGTTCAGCGCATTAACCCACAGCACCGCACCAGGACTCCTATCTACTTCTTTTTTCAGGGTCCTGGAGGCTGGGATTCACATGGTAGTCCATGGAACACTTTTAAATATCAAATCTTGCTCCATGGTCAGATAAGGAGCTGGGCTTGTCTGCACAACTCCCAGTGATCTTAGCCACACTTTGTGTTTTAAATTCTAATAAAGTAACATTGGGTCATAATGGATTTGATGGCATCAGGAGTGGCTCTATAGGATAAGCACTGAATTGCTAATCACAAGGTCAGTGGTTCAAACCCATCAGTTGCTCAGGATCGCTACAAGTTGGAACCTACTTGACAGCAGTCAACAACAACAAATAACAGCACAACAAATAAATGAGCAGCCTTTGAGAGTTCAGTCTGCTTTTCTAACCTGTCATAGAACAAACTACAACTACCCCACAGGTTTCTAAAACTGTAATTTTTATGAAAGTAGACTGTCATATCATCCTTCTTCAATGGGGCAGCTGGTGGATTTGAACCATCAACCTTCTGGTTCCCAGACAAGCACTAACAACTGCATCACCAGGGTTCCTTGCTTTCTCTGCAGGGGCCCAAAAAGAGGACAATAAGCGAATCCTCCGTCACCTTCCTATACTACAATACTGTATTTCTTCTTATTTTGAGTGTGATCATGATTTTATTCTTTGATCTATGGTGTGTGCACCTAGATGGATTCATTCTAAGAGTAAATGGATATACATGTCAGTCTACATATTCCATTGAGTCCTGCTACGGTGCTATAGGACAAGCACTAGATTGCAAGGTCAGTTTGAACCACAAGATTGGCAGTTCAGACTCACCAGCTGCTCCCTGGAAACCCGATACAGGGTCACTATGAGTCAGAACCAACTCGTTGGCACTTAACAGCAACAACAACATATTCCATGCTGAGATAACTGAGACGGGCTACTGAAAATCAAGGCAGGTGACCAAAAAGAACAAATATACCTTTCTTGTTCCATCACATATCTTTTTATATGGTTTTCTTAGAAAGACAGCATTCTGGTGCAAGAAGCTAACGAATTCATTGTAGTCAAATTATTATGTATGCTTCACCTTAAGTAGTCAAATTATTATGTATGCTTCACCTTAGAATGAGGGAGCGCTACGTCTCTGTAGGATAAGCACTAAACTGGGAACAATGATAGCAGTTGGAGCCCATCAGTTGTTTAGAGGGAGAAAGATGAAGCTTTCTACTCCAGCAAAGATATTGTTGTTATTGTTAAGTGCTACTGAGTTGGTTCTGATCCATAGCGACTCTGTATAGAGTTCTGAGGAGCAGCTGGTGGGTTTGAGCCACTGAACTTGTGAATAGCAATCTAACACTTATTCTACATGACCACATTAGGACTCCCTTACAAACCCAATACAGAGTCACTTTGAACCGACTGGATGACATTTAACAACAACAACAACACCTTTCAAATGTGGGGAACAGAAGTTGATGGGAAAATGTAAAAGACAGCATTACTAAATAAACAGAGCCAGGGGAAAAACTGTGTGATTAGTTAAATTTACTGTGCTATTGTAAGTTTGTTTTTTTTTATAACATTTTTTCGTGAAATAAATTATAAACATTTTAGGAGCATTGTTTAATAATAACTTTTAAATATCTATAAACTTCAAGTTTCAGAAAGAATCTCCTTTTATCACTCATTTGTATATTTGGCCTTACTATCTTTTATGTATTAGTAGGCTAACAAATTTTTCAATTCTGAGGATATGTTTCTTGTTTGATATGCCTTACTATTCCTTATACGTTTCCTACTTTTAAGGTCAGAGACCTTAAGGTCTATGGGGTAGGCCTCAGACAGTCAATATCTTCTCTGGAATTATATACTAAAGTTTGTCACTTAAGTGCATAAATATTTTTCTAGAGCAGGGTGTACTGACACCCAGAGACCCACGGGCAAAAAAGTTTAAGTACATCCGCTCTCACATAGTTGGGAGTTATTGAACATTTGTTGAATGATGCGTGGATTTGTATTCTTTTATCCTCGGATAAAACTTTCTAATAGTTATTTATCTGCTAGATACTGACTTATATGTTCTTGTTGCTTTTAGAGTCACAGAATGCTAGCAGTAGCAGAATGTTTTGCATTCCCTAGTCCATTGCCCTTACAAAAGATAACATTGAGGCCAAGTGAGGCAATAGAACTTCCCCGAAGTTGTGAAACTAATAACAGGCACAGGGATAGAAAGAATGCTCCCAATTGTTCGGCTGATTCTGATTTTTATAACAGTAAAAGAACCAGGAAAAGGACAAACTGTTTGGCAAGATTTATTTTGACGAGGTGAGTTGCTTCATTTAGCCTGTTAGAATATCATCATCATCATTTTCCTTACTATCATTATATTCTCTCTCTGGGGACCCATGTGTTTGTCCACAGCAAATGGACTTAATCCCCGTCAATTTCTCTATTTTGTCTCTCCTTCCCCACCAAATAAATAATATGTAATCCAGATGGAAGGCTCCACTTACAGAAGTCACCCAGCACGTGTTATTTAGCATAATCATAAGCGTAACCATCAAAAACAGAAAAAGAAAAAGTCAGTGTTCTAACCTGAATGTCATAGATAGTGAAGGGAGACAGGTCTCTCAGAATGAACGACCCAGGCACATTCATTCCAGTCTTGTAGAGCTTATTATTTCCATAGATGGGATACTTAGTGACAACACCATTTGGGTTTGAAGGAGATGTCCAGATGACATGTACAGCTGTACTGTTGATGATGACAACCTCTGGAGGAAGCATGCCCTCAGGCTCTGGAATTAAAGGAAGAAACTGAATAAACTCCAGCTGTCTCTGAAAAAGCACTTGTTAAACTAAAGGCAGAGCCCTACTTAAGTTTAGCAAAGGCTTCACTGCTTATCTGTTTTCCTCTGATGAAGTTATCACAGTCTGTAGTCCTTTGTAAATTGCCTTATTATACTCTCAGTTAGAAACCATAAGAATTGGTGGTAAAATGTTTTATACCACCAGCATAGTGTTAATCTTCAAAACTATGTAATCAGTGGGATATGATGATCAGTTATTCACCCATCACTAACACATATCTATGAATTGCCTCTTCTTCATCCCTTCACCCCCCAGAATAGAATAGAAAAAATTGCCCCTTAAGCAAAATATAAAACTCAAATACACTGAAGCTGGTGGAACGTGAAAAATCATTTGATGTTACTAGCTTGTAACTCAAGCAATATGAAGCAATAATGCAATATTGTCATTATGTAAATGATTTTGAATGTTGATTACCATAGGTAATGATGAAATCTAACAATAGAAAAAAAAAAAACCTTGCTTAGCGTTAAATTACACAATTATTCAAGCATGTCAGAAATAACTATGCAAAAACCTATTTTTATCATAAGGACCCATCTTAACTAGTTGAAAAATTGTCCTTGTAATCCATTCTATTTTATAAACAAAAGGTGTCGACCTTTGGCACCACAAAGGGAAATGGGTTCCATACTTAAAGTGCTCTCTGCTAATGACCTGGAACACTTGCTTGGGAGGTAATGATATTATAATGTTTATAACGAGACTTTATAAAGCCAAAAAGATTAGAAAGACCATTCCAAACACATTTCAGATTCACAAGTTGTTTCCCTTGCTCACTCCTCCTTGCTAACTGGCTTAGAAATGAGTCATAGGCAATTTTTCTCAGTGGCTGAACTTCCACCTATGATTTCTGGTGATTCTAGGAGGGCCCTCACTGTGCTTGGCTGTCATTTTGAAAAGCATACTGCTTCATAGAGTAAATCTTAAAAACAAAGAAAAAAACGTTTCTAAATGTCACCATTTATTGATGTGAACTCAGCTCCAAACTAAGAAAAAACTGCAAAGAATAGGAAAAGAATGGGCTAATATCCCATTATTAGAACCTCGTGTTGCTGTCTCAATGGGACCACTTATTGATTCACCACTTGAAGACAGTGAGCACTTAAGCATTTTAGTTTAGCCCTCTTTCCCCCAACACCGGATATTTTATAATGGAGAATGACTGATCTCATCCTGACAAGAATGAATCAATTTCATTAGCATCTCTGAAGCTGAGCATCTCTTAAAAATCTGGACTCAGCCCCATCACAAGTGGTTGTGTACAGAATTCCACTGCGGATGCTGTGAACTCCACGGGAGACAGAGATAAAAATCTGATACTCTGTATTTGGATTTATGTGGCCAATGACATGGGAGTTTACATCTTGGAGGATTTTCAGAGATTCATTTGAGCTAGCAGAACTCCAAAAGAGTATATAATAATCAACACTGCTTTGTAGATCTTGAAGAGCTGTTGACAATAAATGTAGTACAGTGTACTGATTTAAGAGATTCTTAAGGGAAATGACAGAGGATACATTTTATCATTAGCTATTTCTAGGTTAGGAGTCCCTGGTTGGTGCAAATAACATCTTAGGCTACTAACTGAAAAGATGGAGGGTCTAAGCTATACAGAGAAAATGTAAAAGAAAGGCATGGTGATATGTTTCCATATTTCCATTCATAAACACCAGGGGTTGTCATTAGATAGAATAGACTCAATGGTAACTGGTTATTTTCACTGGAATGGGAAACAAAAAAAGCTTACAGAACATTCTTTTTGGTGATTCTAGTTAGGATGATTTAATTCATTTGTTTATTTTAACAAAGTTCATTTTCCCCTAAATCCTATAATTAGCTGGATAGAGTTTTACCTTACATAGGAAAATAAGTGGCTTAATTGTCTCTAATATTTTAATTATAGCACTGGATGATAAGCACTGGACTGCAAGGCTGGTTTGAATCATAAACTCGGCAGTTCAAACTCACCAGTTGCTTCTCAGAAACCTTATACAGGGACACTATGAGTTGGAACAAACTCGATGGCACTTAGCAATTATTTAACTAAACCTCAAAACTTTAATACAGTACTTCTGAAAGAATGCTGAGTACAATAAAATACACACCATAAAAACACTTTCTGTTCATATGCAACATAATCCTAGAGAGAAACTTTTGTTAATATAAATGAGGGCATTTCCTAACACAGATCTTGGTACATGGAACATGTTTTGACAGGCTAAAACAATTTCTAAATTTTCATCTTTAGGAGGATGATTAGGCTTTATACACTGCCGATGTACTGAAGCATTGTATCTTGCTCTCCTTAAGCACGATTCAGTAGGATTCCTGGGTGATCGTCAAAGTTCTATCAAGACACCCATCCTTATCTTTCAGTTCAATACGCATATGTGGGAGCTTCAAAAAGTTCATGGAAAAATTCCAATATTCCTTCATTCCACTTTTGCATGAACTTTTTGAAGATCCCTAGTATATGATATGGAGTCCAGTAGTGACACTGTGGGCTAATGCATCAGACTGAAAAGTTGTTTGAACTGCAAGGTTGTTGGTTCAAGCTCACCAGCTTCTCCTTGGAAACCTAATACAGGGTCACTGTGGGTCGGGATTGAGTTGACAGCACTTAACAACAACAAGTATATGATATAATCAACCACTTAAAAGAATGCCAACATCAATCATTTAACTGTGTCACAAATGTTGTTGTTGATATATACCGTGGAGTTGATTCCAACTTACAGTGATCCCATGTGACACTCATTTATATTAACATAAGTTTCTCTCTAGGATTATGTTGCATATGAACAGTTGCATATATAGGATAAGAGTTGGACCACCAGGTTGATTTGAACCTTACGGTCGTTGAGCCACTCCTTGGAATCCCTATAGAGGATTGTTATGAGTCAGAACCAACTCAACGGCACTTAACAATAACAATATTTATGGGAGCAGGTTTCCAGTTCTTTGTGGCATTGGAACCACTGCCTTTCAGTTAATAGTTGAGTGCTTAGCAGTTTGTGACACTGTGACAACAAGAGACTTCATTTTACCATCATAATATATATTCTTCAACCTTTATCCTTTCAAAGTCCAGGGTACTCTTTTCTTTCTTACCTTCCACCCATTTCTGCATTAGTAGCCCTATATTCTGCCTCTTACTATCTTCCCACAATGGTTTTTTCCCCCACACTCAAGTTTTTTATTGAAAATGACCTTGTGACTCTCATTCTCAGCCTTCTTTCTCTTATATAATGTTGTATAACATAGTCACTCAAACCACTCAAACAGACACATCTTTACTTTCAATAAGAGAATGATTAGCAGTATTAGGTGCTACAGCTGTTTAGTCTTTTTTTGGTTTTTTTTTAAGCTTTTATTGTGAATTGAGTGATAGCTTACATGGCAGAACATCGGTTTTGCACTCATCTTACTATGTTTTGTTTTAAATAAATTATCACAATCCCCTCCATGCATCATCATTTAACAGTAGTTGCTTCTATTCCCTCTGTTTGTTTGTTGTTGTTTTTCGATGTACACAAAAACACTCAGGGATATATGATTATTTAAACATCCAGTGAGGATGAAATAGAAGAATTCTGCCAACTTCTTCAATCTGAAACTGATCAAATATGCAATCAAGATGTACTGATCATTACTGGTGATTGGAATGCAAAGGTTGGGAGCAAAGACGAAGGATCAGTAGTTGGAAAATATGGCATTGGTGATAGAAATGATGCTGGAGAATGCATGATAGAATTCTGCAAAACTAATGATTTATTCATTTCAAGTATTTCATTTCAAGTGTCTTTTTTAGACAGCATAACAGAGGACTATACACATGGACCTCGCCAGATGGAATACACAGAAATCAAATGGACTACATCTGTGGAAAGAGAAGATGGAAAAGCTCCATATCATGACTCAAAACAAGGCCAGGGGCAGACTGTGGAAGAGACCATCAATTATTCTTATGCAAATTCAAACTGAAGCTGAAGAACATGAAAACAAGTCCACGCGAGCCAAAATATGACCTTGAATATATCCCACCTGAATTAAGGGATCATCTGAAGAACAGATTGGATACATTAAACATTAAAGACTGAAGACCAGAAGAATTGTGGGATGACATCAAGAACATCATACATGAAGAAAGCAAAAAGTCATTAAGAAGACAAGAAAGAAGGAAAAGGTCCAAATGGATGTCAGAAGAGACTCTGAAACTTGCTCTCCAGTGTAGAGATGCTAAAGCAAATGGAAGAAATGAGGAGGTCCAAGAGCTGAATAGAAATTTTCAAAGATCAGCTCGAGAAGATAAAGCCAAATATTACAATAAAATGTGCAAAGATCTGGAATCAGAAAACCAAAAAGGAAGAGCACGCTCAGCATTTCTCAAGCTGGGGGAACTGAAGAAAAAATTCAAGCCTCGAGTTTGATTATTGAAAGATTCTCTGGGCAAATTACTGAACGATGCAGAAAGCATCAAGACAAGATAGAAGGAATACACAGAGTCACTGTACCAAAAAGAAATGGTTAATGTTCAACCGTTTCAAGAGGTAGCATATGATAAATAGTCAATGATACTGAAGGAGGAAATCCAAGGTGCATTGAAGGAATTGGCAAAGAACGAGGCACCAGGAATTGATGGAATAAAAATTGAAATTTTTCAAGAAAGTGAGGCGGCACAGGAGGCACTCACTCATCTCTGCCAAGAAATTTGGAAGACAACTATCTGGCTGACTGATTGGAAGAGATCCATATTTGTGCCCATTCCAAAGAGAGGTGACCTAATGGAATGTGGAAATCATTGGACAATCTCATTGATATCTCATGCGAGTAAAGTTTTGCTAAAAGTAATACAGAAACGGCTACAATAATACATTGACAGAGAACTTCCAGAGGTTCAAGCCAGATTCAGAAGAGGCCGTGTAACGAGAGATATTGCTGATGTCTGATGGATCTTGGTTAAAAGCAGAAAATATCAGAAAGAAGTTTACCTGTGCTTTATTGACTACACAAAGGCTTTCAATTGTGTGGATCATGACAAGCTATGGACAACATTGCGAAGTATGAGTTTCCCGGAACACTTAATTGTGCTCATGAGGAATCTGTACCTGGACCAAGAAGCAGTTGTTCGAACAGAACATGGGAACACTGAATGGTTTAAAATTAAGAAAGGTGTGCGACAAGGTTGTATTCTTTCACCATACTTAGTTAACCTGTATGCTGAGCAAATAATCAGAGAACCTGGATTCTATGAAGAAAAACATGGCATCAGGATTGGAGGAACACTCATTAACAACCTGCGATATGCAGATGATACAACCTTACTTGCTAAAAGTGAAGAAAACTTAAAACATTTACTGAAGAAGATCAAAGAGTGTAGTATTCAGTATGGATTACATCGTAATGTAAAACAAAAAACAAAAATCCTCACCACTGGACCAATAACCAATTCATATCAATGGAGAAAAGATTGAAGTTGTCAAGGACTTCATTCTTCTTGGATCAACTATCGACACTCATGGAAGCAGCAGTCAAGAAATCAAACGACGTACTGAATTAAGCAAATCTACTGCACAAGACCTTTTTAAAGTGTTGAAGAGCAAAGATGTCAGCTTGAGGACTAAGGTACGCCTGACCCAAGCCATGGTGTTTTCAACAACCTCATACGCATGCGAAAACTGGACAGTGAATAAGGAAGACTGTAGAAGAATTGATGCTTTTGAGTTATGGGGTTGGAGGAGAATATTGAAAGTGCCATGGGCTGCCGAAAGAATGAATAGATCCGTTTAGGAAGAAGTGCAGATAGAGTGCTCCTTAGAGGTCAAGATGGCCAAACTTTGTCTCTCATACTTTGGATATACTGTCAGGAGGGACTAGTCACTGGAGAAGGATATCATGTTTGGTGAAGTGGAGGGTCAGAGAAAAAGAGGAAGACCCCCAATGAGATGGATTGGCCAGGTGGCAGCATATATGGACTCGAGCATGGCAACAATAGAGAAGTTGGCCCAGGACTGGGCAGTGTTTCCTTCTGCTGTCCATAAGGTCGCTAAGGGTTGGTACCAACTCGATGGCACCTAACAAAAACAACAAAACAACCAACAGGCACATTCTGCAAGCTTGCCTCCTGGTCTTCAGCATATAGCCTTTTTCTTTCCATGAGGCTAGAGTCCTCAGCAGCTCTCTCTCTCCATGCCATCACCTCTGCCTCCATCTCTCGTGTCACTGCTTCTTCTCTGGTTAGGGTCCTACGTTTGGCTCTTGCTCTTCTCTCATGATGGTCCTAGGGTCCTCTGTTCCTGGAATGTAAGATTATCTACTCCCCCTCTTATGTTACAAAACTTCTACCTGTGACAACTGCAATTAGTCATGATGACAATTATTCACTGCTCTCCTTTCACCAGACCCATCTAGACAAGATGAAAACTATTCAGTGGGGATTCTACCTTTCCC